CGTTGAGACTGCGTACCTTAAGGCTGCAGACCCTGAATTGGGATACAGCCAATGACTGCCGGTATACCGCACACTTTGGTGTTGTCTCCCATTTTGGCAACGTGGCACAAGTCTGTGCCAGCCTGCTGATTCCCCTCCACAGAGATCTCTCTGATACAGATGACACCATCCCAGAGAAGTTGTTGCTACAGTTGGAAAGTTTGCAGAAAAATTTCACCACCTTCAAACTTTTTTTCCTCCCTGTTTTGACTTCTTGTATCCTTATTCCAGTGTGTTTCAGGTTTACTACCAGGATTAGACTGCAGCAAGTTGAGCGCACATCAAGCGAGAGCAGTCTCTAATGTGTCAACCATAAGCCAAAAACAACACCAAAGCTAACTGTGCACGAGTAGTGGTGACATTGCTTTTGTTTGTGCTGTTGCGTGCCGAGGCTTAAATTTAGAGGCGACGGTGGTGACGGTGCTTTTGCCCTTCAGCTTTTGAACAGTTTGCACGAGGGGGATGAGGCTTGCAGTGATTTCCTGTATATCAAGCTTCAAATCACTTAAGTTCGTGACATGACATCGTATTTTCTTTATTTCAATTGACGTTTTATTTTTTGCATTATTACTTTTGTGATCTCCATTGTTTTTTGTTTTTTTTAAAGGTGCTGTACAAAAAACTTACTTTGACTGAAACTATCCTATATTGAAGAAACAAGACTGTTTTTTGTCTGGATTGTCTCGAATAATCATGAAGGTAATTTTTGATGTTTGATGGCATTGTTGATGAAGAAATCCCAGAGATAAAATATTAAAAGTTCGACAGATTCAACCAAGAATTTATCTTCATAGTGAGATAAAGATAAGGGAATACACAGTTTTTATTTGGGTGACGTCATCCGTGACTAAACATGCACTACAGTAAATACCTGGCATAAAGGCACTGCTCTCCACTGGGGTAGCTGAAGCTCGGTTTGTGGCTACAAGACTGGCTGGGGTCGGAGCCCGGGCTCTGCGGTTCCTTCTTGATGGTGACGGGAGGGCTGTGAAATGCCACCGCTACAAGAGACAGTAAACAGAGATGAAACTTGGCGCACACACAGCACAACTTTTGTATATTCTTTTGTCATCCAGCCCTGCCCTGATACTACTGCTATTAAGCTCAAAGGCAAAAACGGCAAAAACAAATTCTTGTGCCTGCACAGGAATCTCTTTTACATGCTTTAGTGACTGTCAACTGCAAAACACAGGGCAGCAGATAGACACGTATAAACACACATACACACACACTTACATAAACACTGACAGGGACAGGCACACAAAAGCACACATGCTCGCACACGACCACATTCCAGCAGTCATTTGAAAGCGCAGAGTGTCCTCGCCCACTTTTCTTCGCTCTTCCAGACACAACAGCAGTCAAAACTTCCTCTTTCAAAGTTAAGCTTCGTGTTAAACTTCGAGTTAAACAACTGTACGGGCCAGAGCGATGTCTACGGAGCGATGAAAGCAAATGTCACAGCTCTGTTAGAACGGCATATACACTCAGCATTCTTTCCGATTTGGTATCCAGATGTCAGCCTTTGCTTGTATCCTGCTTTTTCTTTTTTTGCATTTGATGGCGAGATAAAAAAA